AAAAAAATTTCATGTGGGGGGGTTAGTTCAAAAGGTCCAAAAAAAAAACGGGGGGGGGAAACCCCGAAAATTCCTGGAAAAACCAAAATTTTTGAAAGGGGGGTATAGCAGGGGGGTTTGGTTCAAACAAAACCCAAAGTTTCCCGGGAAGGGGTTCCCCCCCCCCCCCCCCCCCCCACCGCCCCAGTGCGTGTATCTTGATGCCGGGCGATTGTTTGTGTGCGGTTGTCATGGCGTTAGGTCACTGCTGTCTTGCGGTGTGATCGCTTCTTATGGGTTTCGGTCCTCACTCATGGGGGTGCACAAGCGCCTTGGGTCGACAGCGAGGAATTGGGTGTCAGAGAGATCATGTTGACTTAGAGGCAATGTACGCGATGCAGTTCAACCCTCCTAGTGCCCAGTTAGTTACAGGTTATGGGCCCAGAAAAAATGCGTCCCCTCATTGGGAGAGGCTGTACAGTCCCGAGGACCGAAGGCTGACTTGGCTTCAGCATGGAAAGTGCCCCCAAATGCACTGGGGACACTTTCTATACGGAAGCCAAGTCGGCAATTTTTTCAGCTACAAGTAGTCTATGTACAGCAGTTTTACCAACAAGGGGGCCCATGGCTTGGGAGATTGTGTACAGCACGTCAGAGGCCCAGGAGAGGCACACAGGCATCACACAGCAGCATATCACACAGCGTACCACCTCACACAAGCGTATGCTAGACCAAGGTTTCCCACGCACGTTCACGCAGCGGTGCATATTTAGTGACGACCACGGTGCGGTAAACAAATTTGAGTGCTGCTGTGTCCCTAAAGTGTCCCCATTTGGGTTTCCAGTACTAGGGGGGATAACATATTGAGCATGTGTGACGGAAGCCACACGGTACCTTAAGAAAACGGCATTGTAGCAGAAGAAAATCAGCATGATCCGACAGGGCCCGAGAACAAGAACCGTCATCTTAAGAAAATCCACGACTTGGCCTGTTTTTTAGGCCCATACATGCGATAAAAAGATCTCAGGCAGGAACCGCAGGAGGGGGTCCAATCCCCCCCTCCTGTATGACCCCAGTTGGGTCGTCTAGCTAGTAGAAATGGAGGATGGGGGCCAGAGGGGCAGACGACAGAGTCCAATGATGGGAGAGAGAAAAAAAAAAAATGTGGAAGTAAAAGATTTAGCCTCGGCCCGAACTCGGCGTTTATTGTGTCCGGGCGCTACAATATCTAGTCTCTAGTCTAGCATTGGACAAATTTCAGTCGGCTTTCTTCCCCACTCACTGCAACGGTTCCCGACACATGTCCCGTGGTGGGTATTTCGACCCTTGAATACAAGATATCATCTGGGGGCGTATATCTTAAAAAAAATACTGCTGGGCCGACTGCTGGGTTCGGTGGCGTTGTACTCCGAGTTTGTTCATATAAGCAGCAGAACAATATTGGTTGTTAGCTGCAGCAAGCGGCACGCGTTTCCTCTTGCTCAGTGATGCCTGGGAGTGATGAGCGACAGCGAGCGGCTGAGGGAAAAATGTAAGACAGTGAAACGGAATTGGACTGAAAACGGAGCTTGCTGTGTAACCTGCACACACAGCAGCAGCAGCGGTCGGATCCGCCATATACACTGCAATCATCACACATATATATCCCTTTTCGACTGCTATTATACTACACAGACAGCAGTATGCATATGCTGCGAGTATTTATCATACCCATGGTAGGTAATGCTGTGAGTAGTTCCACCCCCAGGTAGGTGTGCATAAATTATGCATTATTTACATAACTTCGAAGTATTTGCTGACAAAACTTCAACACAACAAGTACTTGCACACAGCCGTCCACTGTATTTTACGAATAGATCTGCTCGTCAAGGTGCGTGCATCTATTGTACGAATAGATCGATCGCCCCCAATCAGGCATGATGATGGTCCCCTTGGCACATACTCCCCGCGCGAAGACGGCCAAAAAAAGAGTGCATACACGTCAAGTGTTACACTATTAACTATTATTATAGAACGGACAGAAGAAGGCACCAGGCAGAGAGAACGGAACGGTTGTTAATGTCAAGAGCAACACCAACACAAATGGTGGAGTAGACTATTATGCATTTGTTGGGTTGGGTTGGGTTGGGGTTGGGTCGACGCCGTCGATCGCGCCGCCGTCGTTTGGTTGTTCATCTACTGTACATACGTTGGGTAGATGGTTGTGGGTAGGGTTGGGTCGTCGGTCGGTCGATCGATCGGCCGCCTTTCTTTGTCAATCGCGCCGCCGTTGCTCCGTCGATCGTCGCCGTCGGGTTGCCGTTGTGCATTTGTATTTTCGATTTCTTTTTTTATGTGTCGCATTCACAGCAAACACCTCTCTCTCTCCTTGCATGCATTGTTGTTGTTGTCTTCACATTAAAAACTGTACCTTCTTCTGTCCGTACTAGTGTAACACTTGACGGGATGCATGCATGCACATAATACATGTGCAGAGAATGGCCAACACCAAGCCAACTAAGGGGCCCAGACTGGAGCTTGCAAATTCGTAAATTCCATTCTCAATACATCCATCGTGATGGTGATGGTAATCTGCTTCCATGATGATAATTTCTGTGTGTGTTTTTATTATTCCTTAATACCGGTAACACCTGCTGCGGCCGAACTGCGAGATTGGTGCGGTTCAACCCAGGGGAACAACAACCAACCTTGGATTGAACGACAACATGGCGAACAACTTCAACATAATTTCAATATAGACCCTACAAGTATGCACAACTCACTACGGTATACAATTGTACTGCCGTGCAGAGACTTCAACACATCCCTTCGACCCGGGGGCAGACGACCCGAGGGAAGACGAACCGGGGGCAGAATCATTGTCTCGAACGGATACAGTAGTCTTCGATTGGATGCAGTGACGAAACTTGCCCTGTGGGCTGGTGTCCAGACATCTACCAGGTGTACCCACCCACCCCCCCACCGCTGCGCTGCCCCAACGCCCCAACGTAAAGGACAGCACCGACACAAAAGAACGTATTTATTTGCTGAACGCTTTTTCCTTCTCTTGTGGGCGATCGATCGTAGTATACGTGCCGTTCCTGGTGCATACAATACAAAGTTTCTTGCATAAAACGCTGCTCTCGCATTCTCTACATGAACCCGCAGCTCCAAGATTAAATCACTCAGTGGCCCAATGGCATCTTTCAAAACGAAGAAGGGCCGCGACCAGAAGACTAATTATCTAATTATCTGTGAATACAGAGCGGTCGGTGCTTGTGATCATCATGCACCATGCACACGAGATAGACGGTGTCCCCGCCTCCGCCGTCGCTGTGCAAAACAAGGGCGAGCATACCGTCAATTTTGATTGTATGCTGGAATGCTGGAATTGCGTGGTTGGTTGGTGTTGCACGCGAACAGCAAGCTGATTGTTGTTGAACACCAGCACCTACCTCGTGTACCTGCCGCCGCTCCGTTCATGCCTCCATTCTCCGCGCACAGACACACACAACCAAGCACCAAATTCCACTACGAGACATCAGATGCTCTCTCGCTCTACTGCACCAGCCTGCTCGGACACAGCTCGTAGCGTCTCACCTGGGTCGACCGCAGGAAGCTGGAGATGGCAGCGACACTGGAGCCTGTAACGTCTTCAGCGAGCGAGTCTTCGGGGATGTGGTCCAAGTGCTTGGACTCATCGAGAGGATCGGCTGCCTTGGGAGCGTCAGCGGTGTCTCTCAGGCTGTAAGCCCGCTGCAGGGGGCCCATGGGCGGGGGGTCTACCGCTGTTGTCATGGTCTGGTATGTCCTTCCCGCCAAGCTAGCGGGGCCTGACGTGACCCGTAGCTGATGAATGTGACGGCCTGGTGGACCTCCGTGTTATTTTCTGTTGTGTGCAATGGAGCAATGGATGATCTTGCACCACATTTTTTTTTTTTGTATCCCTTTGGATACTGCTGTATGCTGTATGCCTTTCTTGACGCGGCGAGACATCATGTTTTTTTTTTTTTTCGCGCGGCAACAAGCGGGGGCTGTGTCTTGGTCTTCTATAAGCAGCAGTCGCTTTCTCTCTTCGGTACTCTCCACCCCTTAGTCTCTCTGCTTCCAGTGATTGTCTATACAGGAGGGCGAGACGTGCTTCGCATGGAGAATGACGACACGTTTGCACCACGGCCGGGGACCAAGAGCACGTGGACGCATGTGAAAGTCTGCGGCACGAAGGCGAGTTGTTTTGGAAAATAGCGGCGTGTTTCTTTGACCTTGTAGCGCAGCAGCACAGCAGTACAGATAGCATAGATAGCATAGTCTAGTGACCAACTGGCATAGTTACGTGCAAGCAGGGCAGCAGCACCCGCAGTTGACGCTGCTCGCCTATTGCCTGATGGGAGCAGACACGCGCTTTGGTAGCGGTAGCGGCATAACACCAGCAAACCGATTGATCAACTTTCACCGTTTGCTCCCCACGGCTGCGATCGCTGGATCGCTCTCCTTCCCACAACGTAACAAAAACGGGGTGTTGCCGTGTTTTTCGTCACCTCTGAACCAGCCTGCGAGACTTGCGAGAATCAGCGAACCGCCCACTCCCACTCGACAGGAGCTGCACTTGCAGTTTTAACCCTGGCATAGAAGAACGACTGACCTAGTAGTTACCGTTTCGACAGAGTCTCTGATGTTATTACGTGATATCACGGAATGCAACCAACCTCTGCTGAGCAGAAGAACTGGCTTTTATTCAAAACACGCTACAAGCAGCTGCAACGTGATGCCGTGTCGTTGCATCCCCTTGTTCGAGCAGCACTGCTGTGTCCGTGCGTTTAAAAGGTGTCGATTAGCATTGAAACATCGTCTGTTGGGCATCCAAATATATGCACCGCCTACGAAAGACAGGGGAGGATAAGTTCGATGTGCTCTCTAGGCTCGTCCGTTTGCTTGGCATGCCGCCATGACGCCGTGACCTTCCGGGAGCGCAAGTCAACCTCGAACACTCGATCTAATACCGCAGGCCCCGTGCATGGGCATCGCGGGCCATATGCGTGCAACAACAACCATTTACCATCCTCGGTACTGGTGTAGCGGTATATTATTCGCGGCGGCGGGGGCATCAGGCACGAGGTTACCCACCCTGATTCCGATACCTACGATGCACGGAGCAACCCCAAATCTGTTGTTTTTGTTTGAACCAAACATGAGTACACCAGCCGTCGTCCACAGTATCTTCTACCCTACGGCCTCGCCTCTCTGACTGAAGAGCTCCGATCCGGGGTCACACGAAATAAATCCTCTGGGTTGCATGGCCTAATTACTCGAACCCGAGAACGCGTTTCGTGTGCACAATTCCCAAAAGAACTTGGTTTTGGAGCGGTCGAGCTTCGGTATCACAACTGCTGCTTGTGCGCCCACACCTATACAGCAAATAAAGTAGTTGGCTTTGACACCGTCCAACAGCTTGGAGATGCGTGTGTGTAATAGTCAATGCCGACGCGTTCGACACTCAAGGCAAGCAATAATAAGTGAGCACCCCGTCGCCTGCTTTGTCGGCAACACCCCGAAGTGATGGGTCCCAATTTCGACCTTGGTTTCGGCACGAGGGGTCCACGGCGGTGTTGCTTGCCCCCTCAGCAAGCTGTGCGTGGTAGTTAGAACGCCTCCCTTTCACCTTCTCGGCCTTTCCGCAATTGACATGTGGCGCTCTCACGCTCGTTTTCATCTCAATCAAGCCAGCGGAAGGGGACAAATTTCAAATTTCCCACCCAACCCGAGTCTTCTTCTATGGCACGTCCTTCACGAGCAATGTAGCCTCCCATATATGTCTGCGCGTCGCGAAACCGCCGCACCCGCCAATACCCGCAGGAATGGCACACGGCCGACTCTTCGGGCAACGGGACCGGGGATGCTGCTGCCGCTGATGCTGCCGGAGCAGTTAATGATCCGTACGGGGAGGAATCCGGATCGTCTACCCACGGCTGCCTGGGCGGAACCGACGGTACGGTGCGGAATCCGATACTAATCCGTTCCGCAAGGACGTGTGATTTTGTGATGCCTGCCCTTGCGACTGCAACCCTTGCGGAATGGTGAAGGTGGTGGGGTCCCCGCCACTGCAGAAGTAAACGTCTGCCGTTTGTGGACCGATGGCCAGGAAGTATAATTGGTGTGGTGGTGGTATCTCGGTGCATGACTGCTGCGCATGCCCCGAAAAGCGTACACGGTTCTTTGCATGAGATGTGCGTGCGTGAGAAACGGCGAACAAGGCCAACAAGCAGCAAAAGTCCACAAAAGTGCCGACGACTGTCTCACTCCTCCCCCCCGCATAGCTGCACAGCCTTACCTGCGACGATACCTTTTGTCGTATGATAGCGGAACAATTGAACGCGAAAGCGGCCCGCTGCCCTCCCCCCCCCGCCTCCGTCGTTCCTGTTTAACGACCCACCGACTCGAGAGCAGGGTTGAACAGATGAAGAACAGGAAGAGTCAGTCCCCCATCCCCCTCACTTAGTACACACGCGGAAACCGTGCAGTTGCGGGGCGTTGGTATCGAAAGGGAGCGAGATCCCGCCTGCTCGACAACAGATCAAGTCAACACACGTCGCCCGATCCGATGTCCCCTCTCCCCTCCCTTCCCACTCCGCCCTTTCCCCTGCTCACCGACGCCTTAAACCGTCCCGCTGTGGTCATCACCATCACCATCATCGACAACGACACCGTCACCGTCACCGTCACAAACAACGGCACCACCGTCGTCAACACCAACGAACAACAACCAACCAGCGTCGAGCAGCAGCATGAGCGAGCCGAACCTCTTCCGGATGACCGACTCCCTCGCGGACAGGACCTTCTCCTTCGCGCCGGCGGAGACCCCTCCCCTGTCGCCCTCCCCCGCGGGCAGGGGCGGCGGCGGCGGCGGCGGGTCCGGCCGCGGCTTCGAGAGGAAGGTTAGGTCGGTTTCGGACTCGTTCGGGCCGCAGCTTTCAGCGGGGAAGGGATCAGGAGGAGGAAGCTATAGGGGTGGGGACGGCGGCGACGGTGATCCGGCGGCGGCGGTACAGATGCCGCTGCCCGGGCCCAAGAAAGCCATCAGCCAGAGGCAGTTCTTCCGGCCCGTTTCGATGTCGTCGTCGGTTTTCAACGAGAGGTGACGGCACTGCTCTGTGAGGAATGCGTCGGGCGTATATTTGTGCACGCGCTTTGTTGTTGTTGTCTTCACATTAAAAGACCGTTCCGTTCTGCTACCCAGTCCCTTCTGCTGCCCGTACTAGTCAAGCACTTGACGCGGTCGATTCCCGTGGTCACAGGCTTATGGCAGTTTTTGTTTGCTCACATGGCTACATATCTCCTCGCTTTTTCTCTCTCGAACCGGTCGCACTCGATGCCATTCAATTGCACACGCGGACTCGCTTTCCCGTGCAGCTCCTCGGACCCTGGCCCTCAACGCGAAAAGTGCTGCTGTTGCTGCTGCTGCTGCTGCTGCTGCTTGTGCTTACCGCCCTTTCTACTGCCGCGTGTCTTTTTCTATTCGACTCATCGGGACCCTTGTGTTTCTCATACTTAATAATATGCTGGTCCGGTGTGGCGACCACGGATGGTGGTGGCGACAACGACGACGACAACGGCAACGGCGGTTTTACCGGCCGGACACACACGAAACCAAACACGAAAAAACAACAAAAAAATCGCCTCCAAGCAGCCCCATTCCAGATATTCTCCGACGGCGACTGGCGGGGGAGGTGCGGCACGGGCTCTCGCAGGCCGAGTTCGCGGTGAGGCGGGACGGGAAGCTGTTGCTGGCAACGGTGGGGCTGCCCGCCCGAGGGAAGACGTACATCGCTCAGAGCATCAAGCGGCACATGGTGCGCGAGAGGGGGGGGGGGGGGA